TTGGATGATGACAGTGGCACTGTTATTGTTCAGAAACAATGTCCAGTTGAAACCAGGAAAGCCCTGCCCACTGGAGAATGGTGCAATTTTAATGTTGCCATAGGCAATTGAATTATTTGTTCATTGGAACGTTCCTCTCCCCCGCTTTTCCCCCCCTCATAAACTCTTCTCCCATATTAACTAACTCATTCCTCTTAGACAATATAAGTGTACAGGAGGCTAATAACAGCACATAGCAAACTGCTAATCATGAGGAAATTATAATGAGTTTTTCTCATGGTCCATTGTCATCTAGTTATCTTCATGGAATTACTACCCTCCATTTGCACAATGTTCCCATTAGCATGGGTGCAGAAAAGGCCTAGGTTATGTGTATCTTCTGTAGCATGCAATTGCAGTGGAGGTGAAGGATCATAAACAGATTACAAGTTTTGAGGTGGAATTCTTCATGTGCTACTTAGTTACAGAACTAGGTTGGCTGCATTGCTAAGTAGCCTCTCCTGGCCCAACTTCCCAACCACATCCTAACTTACTGATCAGCAGTCACTGTGAGCAATGATCTGTTCTCTAATTGATCAAGATGCAACAGACTGATGTTTTTACCTTTATGAATGATTTCCATTAGGTCAGTCAAAGGTAGAATCCCTTTCTTCCTCACACTGAGATCATTTGTGGCAGCCAGATTATTCACCGGAGCACCATACAGGGAGCACACCACCCCCCTGCTATGTCAGCTCCACTGGCTGCTGGTCCACTCTCGAACACAATTCAAAGTGCTGGTCTTGGTCTATAAAACCCTATACGGTTCTGGCGCAGCTTACTTGTCCAAACCTATCTCCCTCTATGTTCCACCTCGTAGTTTAAGATCTACTCGGGAGGCCCTCCTCTCGGTCCCACCAGCCTCGCAAACGCGTCTGGTGGGGATGAGGGACAGAGCCTTCTCGGTAGTGACCCCCCACTTGTGAAATTCCCTCCCCAGCGAGATTAGATCAGCATCCTCCATCCTTTCTTTTAGGAAAAAACTAAAATCGTGGTTTTGGAACCAGGCTTTCAGCAAGTGAGCACAGCAGCACCAAGGACGTCGAACTGGACCATACAACTATTATGATCATTGGAAATGCCTATGTAATGTAATTGTAAATGGCTATGGGATGTGATTATTTAACTATTGTTACTGTTTTTAATTTTGTATATATTCATGGTTTTATATTGTTGTCTATTGATATTGTGGCATCGAATTGTTGCCTATGTTAGCTGCTCTGACTCCCCCCTCCCCGGGGATTGAGAAGGGAAGGGTAGAAATGCTTTAAATGAATAAATAATAGAGTGAAAATATCCTTCCCAAACTGGCAGGAGAACAGATCTCCTATCACTCATAGCAGCTACTGTCTGGAGGACTTTTCATGATCCGTACTTATTTCCTACAGTATTGAATACATAGGGATCATGAATAAGATTAAGTTATGGGAATGCACAACTCTAAGATATGCACTTGTAACTGTGATCATGAATTCTAACCATGTGACGTTAACATTATTTTGTACTAGTTGGGTGATTCAGGACCATAACAACGAATCCTGTCTGGATTTAGAGGAAATATCCAAATTACAGGGATTTTCTTTTTTGTTCTTGCCCCAACATAAACTGTGCATGTTCTGAGAACTGTGGAAAAGTTAGTGAAATGGTGGTTTGCATTATCATTATCATCATGATCATCATCATTATCCATCATGAGGGGTACTTTGATGGTGCTTTTCCTACATGGTAGTGGGTTAGGCTAGATGGTTCGTGTGGTCTCTTCCAACTCTATTATTCTATGATCATCATGGATAATCCCTTGTCATGAAGGATAATTTTTAAACCAACATTTTAAAGCCACACACAAACAGAATACAAATTAGTATATGCCTTTCCTTAGGAGATCTTAAAAGGCTGTGGAAGTCTTGCTTCACCTTTGAATGTTCTTCTACCATCAATCCAGGATCATTAAGTTTGCTGTGAGATGGCTGACTTTTGGGACTACCTAGAGAATTTCTAAGAGTACTCATAAACAAAGCCTTGTTGGGTCATATAGCGCAAAGCTGGCAGCACTATGATATAAAACATGGCTTAGGACAAGAAATAGACTTCATATCAAGCTGAGTTCTTTGCACTGACAGAATAACTGGCATTCTCTTCCTCCTTGGTCCAGTCTGGAAGGCAAAGCAACCATATAGCCAGGGGAAATCAACCTCTCGGTCAGTGATGGAAGTAATGAGAGGCTACTTGAGCAAAAACCTTCATACGCCTCCACAGTTCTGAGAACCCTGTGCCATCTTTATTATTTCATTTTTTTTTTTCAAAAAAAAATCTTGGCTGTAAAAATGCACACATGGAGAATATGATCATCAAGGCCAAAATGATGATTATGGGTTTGGGAGAATTATTTTTCCCTCCTAACAATAAAGAACACTTGGCATCCCACTCTGGCTGTTATTCAAACTTCCTGTCCTTAATGCTCAATAAATATTGATTTTGGATGCTTCTCTGTATACTCAGTGCTTTTTTTCTCTTTTAAATTGTTGCCTTAATGTTTACTGGAGATAAATATAGACATTTGATTTCAAATACCACTGTGACCCAACACAGTTTTGTGATGTTACCACTCTGTTGAGCTTGGATGGCTATTTCAAACCCAAAATGAAATATCCAAATAAATTAAATACAGCAATTATTTTTATGAGGGAAGGAGGTAAGGTGCTCAAATATATTGTACTTGTAAATATGCTGCTACATACACATTCTACAACAGCTTCAAAATTAACTGAATTGCCATCTTGGCAGGGGATTGGACTGGATGGCCCATGAGGTCTCTTCCAACTCTATGATTCTATGATTCTATGATTATCTCTATCTATCTTATAAGATGGCCTAAGTTATATCACATTGATTTGAATGGATCAACAATAAGGAAAACTAAAGGTCTATCTATATCTGCTACAAATATTGAATCGGGTCAAAGGTTCCTCCAGAGTGTCCAGATGATGTCCAGGACTTCCAGACCCTAATGCAGGGTAAAAACATTAACCCAGTTTCACCTTGCATTAAGAGAAGTTGCAGAATGCTCCTGAGCTTTTCTGAAATTTGGGAGAAGTCCTGTACTTTGAGGTTGGTTTGAACAGCTGGGCCAGTTCTAAATTCAATCAGTAAAACTGTTCACACAAACCAGTGCTGCCATCCTGTTTTTTCCATGCTCTGCGGAGAAGGAGAAGAAACATGGCACTTCTCTTTTCTCATTGTTTGTCACTGCACATAGTTCCAGAGAGGTGCTGGCCATTGCCATGTGCTTTTTGCTGATGTTAGCAAAGGTGTTTGTGCAGTGGAAAAACAAATAGGGAAGAGGGGGGATCTCCCTCCACTCCCATCCCTACTTTTTCTAAATCAAAAAAGGGTCTTTGGGGACATTGGCAAAGGTACCCAACAGTGGTCAGAAATTCTCTAGAAATCTGTAGTGGTGGCTGCTGTAGTGACAAACAACAAAAGCTTGACTGTCCGGCAGGGCAAAACTGAGTTCAACCCAACTGAATAGCTGGGACTCTAGCTCATCGCCATAGTGGGATGGAAGTGGGCAGCATGACCACTCCTGGACCAGTCTGGATGATCCAGATGAGTCCCAAATTTAATAGCCTATATAGTTGGGCCTTATGTTTTGCTATAGGTCAACTTTTTCTCCATTAAATAAAATATTTAAAATCCTATAAGATATATAATCAGTCTGCCTCTCCAACCATCCAAACATCTAATTCCATCCCAATCCAAATTCAGGCACTGGATACATGTTGCAAAAAAACCCCCAGTGTTCTTAGAAACTGTGGAGTAAATGGGGTTTTAAAAAATGCATTAAAACTCTCAGGCATCTAAAAGTCATATTTTCACTTCAATGAATGTACATTCAAACAGGACTCTGAACAAGATAAGGACAAAACATTTTTCAGGTGTGAATTCAGCCTGTCAAATTTTCTAAGCCATTGGAAGCTAAAATACATTGACAGTTTTGATCCCATTCTTTTGCCATTGGCTCTCCCTCCGCTGAATGTGGTGCCTCTCAAGAACTTGCATTCAATTGAATTTGGCTTTCAAGATGAAACAGATTTCCCACCTACAGTATGTTGAAGGAAGTTCTTGCTGGCTGAGTGGAACAGGAAGGCTGATATTATATGTAGTATGTTGTTTTCATGTACCATTGTAAAATGAAATACAGAACAGTAGCCACCACATCTTTGTGAGTGTGTGTCTGCACCTTCACATCACCTTTCGACCTCTGGTGACACACTGTAAATTCCATGGGGTTTTCTTAGACAAGGCATCTTTAGAGGTGGCTTTGCTAGTTCCCTCCTGAAATATAGACCACAATACCTAGTATTTGTTAGTGATTGCCTATCTAAGTACTAACCAGGACTGTCCCTGCTTAGCTTCCAAGATCAGACAGAATAGTGCCTTTATGATATTTAGACTCTCACCACATTTTACTATGCAATCATTCTGAGAACCAGAAAAGACATTTCCTTAGAAAGAAAGAGGATGAGTTTCCAAAAACTAAGCTCCATATATAGAGTGGTGAGCACAATGGTCAGCAAAACCTTCTTCTTTCTTCTCAGCATTTGCTTAGGATTACATAGGGAGAAAGCAAGGCCCCCATTATTGTTCTTGTTGTATGTGTTCAAATAAATTCCAACTTATAGCAACCCTGTTCTTACTAGGCTAGTTTGATTCAGACAAGTTTGCCATTGCCCTTCTTTGAGGCTGACAAAGTGTGAGTGAATTGGGATTCAAACCCTGGTCTTGAATCACCATATTGGAACCCAAATGCAATTCAATAACTCAGGTAGACGATCCCATTAACATCTGTGAAACAATGGCAAACATTTAGCATCTTCTTGGAGGAAAAACTTCACTCGCTGAATTCACTTTTGATGATGGTTACTTTATTGGTACATGCAGCTGGGGGAGCAGCAGTTATATTACTGTTCAATGTACCAGGCGTGCACAAAGAGTGAGGCAGGCTTGAGGGAGACCCCAAGTTTGGAGACAAGTGGAACATGGCGATAACCTAGAAACAAATCAACAGGAAAGAAAGAGTTAAAATAAATTGAATGTAACAGAAGAAACCACGGCTAGGTAGAGTTGGATTGGAGCACTGAAAAGTTACAGTCTGGAGAGTATAACTCCCAGAATTCCCCAGTTAGTGTGGTCACTCCAAAAAAAAAAAACCCCACACATTTTTAAAGTTCTACCCAGCATGTATAGATAGATTTCTGAAGCAGTTTGCAGATTTGTAGCCAATCTTTGGTCCAGACAACAAAGTGGATTTATAGTATCTATAGAGTTATCATCAATGTGATACCACTTTAAGTCTCGTGACTCCATCCTTTCAATTGGATGTGTTCATTAATAGTCTTTATTAGAGAGATCTAGTTCATAGCAAAGGTTGCTATTGTGCCTTCCAATTGAATTTGACTCTAGGATAGCCCTCTCCTTTGAATTATTCTTGGCAAGGTTTCTCCAAATTCCCTTAAGTCTAAGGCTGAGAGAGTGTGATTCCCAAGGTCATCCAATGATTTGAGAGGGAATTCAAACCCTGGTCTCCTAGAGCAGTGGTTCTCAACCAGTGGGTCCCCAAATGTTTTGGCCTTCAACTCTCAGAAATCCTAACAGCTGGTAAATGGGGTGGGATTTCTGGGAGTTGTAGGTCAAAACACCTGGGGACCCACAGGTTGAGATCCACTGTCCTAGAGTCTTACACCAACACTCAAACCACTACACCATGCTAGCTCCCAGCCTGGGCACACCCAATGGAACAGTGGAGTTTAACTCTGTTTTAACTCTCAATTCAATCATAAATAGGTCTACTCTAGCTCACTATATGCCATAAGCATTGTCTAGAAAATGAATATTAGGGAGGTTTTTTGGACTACACCTCTCAATCTTCTCATCTCAGTTTGGACAGTAGCCAAGGAGCTGAGAGACAAGATTTTCCAAGCTGTGGCCCTAGATAATGTGCATCCAAAATGTGCAGATGCACAGAAGTTAGTCTGCAAAAATTCCAACAAACTGAGAAGGACAGACAGATCAAGTGAGGCTGGCATGAATACCAGCAAAGAAGAGGAAATTGCTCTGACAATGCTTAGCTCATTTCGATTCTCTGAACAAAAAGTCAGGGATGCAAAGGGACACTAAGTTGACAATCTTCACAAAGCGCCTTTAGAACAGAGTGGTGATTCTAATTTAGATTAGCTGTGGAGGTATTCCTTATGCATTAAAAAGCCGTGGTGTTCAGAACACCTATTACAAATTGCGGAACAGAAAAATGATTCATTCTCATAAAAGCAGAATGAGATGACTTTAAAGGCCCCAACTAAATCCTGTGCATAATTGCATGGAAGAGTCTGTAAATGAGAAGTTTGCTTTACTTGGAAGCAAGCGGGAGCTGAGAGGTGAAGGAAGGTCCAAAGTCGTAACTCATTCACCAGTTCTCTGTTCTAAATAAAATATTGTTGTTGTTGTTCATTCGTTCAGT